GTAACAGCCCGAAATCTCAAGTATTGTTAAAATTACATTTTGGGGTGTTTTAAAGGGGGGACTCGGCGAGTTGGAGCCAGACTCGCCGAGTAGGATCGCAGATCGGGTCGCGGGTTCGCGACTGGACTCGACGAGTCCAGATAGGGACTCGGCGAGTCTGCGCTGTTTAGCGAAAACCCTAACCGTTCAGGTTTGGGACGTATAAAGGGGATCATTGGCCGTCATTGTTCCCTTTTAGCCGTCTGAGAGGAGCCCTAAACCGATTGTGTGCATCTGGAGCAAGGTTAGAGGCCATGGGTGATTGTGAAGGAGTTGTTGTGCAAGGAAGGGAAGGTTTTGGCTAAAGGAACAGCAAGGGAGTCACATGCTGAAGATTGGGGACACAGAGAATACATTATCCAGGTATGAATTCGGGTATACTCTGCTATGTTGATATATTTAGAGGATTAGGGTTTATGGAACCCTTTTGTGGATAGATTGAGTGTTACCCAGGTCCCCCAAGCGATTGTAACCCTGTGTTGGGACCTTTGGAGGTCCAGATTATTCCATGTCTGGGCATTTCGGGAATTGGTGAAGGTTTTGGATTGAAATCCTTATGCCTTAGGTCAACATGTAAACCATAAGTCTTGGGGTGTAGCATGAGCACCTAAATGAAGACCTTATGTAAAGGACCAGTCGAGGAAGGCCAGACCTATGAATGGTCGGAGCAGTTATGACCTTAGGAAGCAGTTTGAGCGACTGCATGGCATGGACTCGCCGAGTCAGATGAGCAGACTCGGCGAGTAGCTTGAAGAATAACTGGGACTCGCCGAGTTGTTCCTCAGACTCGGCGAGTGGAGTCGGGGTGGCCCCGCGATTCTTCCAGGAGTAACTCGTCGGGTCAAGGAGGATACTCGACGAGTAGAAGGGAAACTTTAGAGGACTGGAGGATGACTAGACTCGCCGAGTCGCCAGGGTACTCGCCGAGTCCGGTCGAGTTGACCGTGGACTGTTGACCAGAGTTGACCTAGGTGTGATTTCTTAGGGTCAGTTGTCTTGAAAGATAAAAGTGTTAATAAGGGACGTACGATATTACAGGGAGTCTGTAGCTCGGCGGATCGAGTACGAGGGATTTCAGGAGTTGCTAGCTTTCAGTATCCACGAGGTGAGTCTTCTCACTATACTATACCCGGAAGGGTTTGACTGTGTGACCGGAAGGTCGAATACGATGTATGTTATAT